AAAAAAATCTATTTTTTCTCACTTATAATAAATATTGACAAAACTTAGGTATAGTTTCTTGTGTATTGTTGATGTTATTTTTCAATGAAAATTTGAGTTTTATCTTAGTATTATACACTTACATTTAATTTAGATATCATTGATATATATATTTAAACATACTACATCGAAATAAAACTTCAATTATAATTAAAGAATAATACTAATTATACTTAAATTAAATTTTGTACTTTATTATTCTCTTTGATGTATAGGAATCTTAAATTATAGTTGCTGATAAGAAGAGAGGACATGATTATTTATGATGACTAATAGTGAGTAGTGACATGCCTACCGGGAGGTGGTGACCTTAATAGAGGTACTGAAACACTGTCTCCTCTCTTCACAGCATTGGATTGAGTATTTTTGGGGGGTCCTCGCACTTGGCCATGCTTAAAGGTGACTGCCTAAATGATAGTACCAAGTAAGTGTCCCCCATCAATAGGAACAATTATAAGACTGAGTTGCAGTCAAACAAATATGTCGAAACAAATACCCACCACACACATGTGGTCCTTCTATTCCTAACCCATTCTGGCTGTCTTCCTCGGAGCCACACATTTTAAATTTTTTTAATGAAGAGGTCCACATTTATGCACATTGCATGTATATATATATATATATTAGCTTTGCATGATGAGAGCAGGGTAAGAACAAAAACTATTTAAAGTGTTTTTCTTTTTTAGGTAGTTACTAAAAAGTGTGCCGATTTGACGATTACTATATGTAGTGTAGTTTACTTTTATCTGGATTTTTAATACACGATATAGAATTTGAGTACAGTTTTCTAAAATATATTGTTCTTGTTTCTAAATAAAAATTCGACTTTAATAATGCATATTAAAAATATGTGGCCATGGTTTGTTGAAGTAGAAGTGAGCTTAAATTCCACAAACAAGATTATAGATTAGAATTTTGAGGATGAAAAAAAAATATTGTTGTTGTTACTAAATAAAAATTTGACTTCAATAATGCATATTAAAAACATGTGGCCATGGTTTGTTGAAGTAGAAGTGAGCTTAAATTCCATAAACAAGATTATAGATTCGAATTTTGAGGATGAAAAAAAAAAATGAAAGTATAAAGAAACAATCTCACCAAAAGTAATCAGTTAAATTTTTGTATAAAAGTTAGTTAGTGACAAAAGTAATAGATACTTTATTCTAATAATATGGTCATATTCAAAAATAAAATAAAATTTGACTTCAATAGTGTATATTATACAACTTCATAAATCCAAATATCTTAAGTTTTTAAATAAATATGAGAAAATTATGTATTATAAGAAGGAAGAAAGTGTAATAAAAGTTTATTATTAATTATGAAAATAATCTATAATGAGAATCATATTTTCTAATATAAAATTAAATTAAAGAAAATAATTTTAAACAAGAGGAGAAAATTACATAAGTAACAAAAGCATTTTTTATTTTAAGCTTAAATATTTCTTATTTAGTTTTTTTATCATTTAACATTTTTCATTAATTTTATATTTTTTATAAGATTTAGAAGAAGAAAAAAATATCTTTATGACTACTTAGGAATAATATAACAAACATATATGAATATCAAAACATACGGATTAAAGCTGATTTTTTTTATAGTGATAAATCTTCACATACACTAATATGATGTGATAATCATCATATTCGAACTAATAAGAGGTTTAAATATTTTATATGTAATATTAGATTTTAACTTTATTCTTCACATTATACAACAAAAATATTAATATAATAACTTTTATTTTCAAGCATATATATATATATATATAAACATTTGCTTGGAAATATTAATTTCTTAAATGAATTGTAATATCTCAAAATTAGTTTATAATTCTTAACTAAAAAATGTCTTATATTCACACATAAAAGGTGATAAACAAATGCATGTGTTTTATCATTAATTATTAATAGAATATGTTCTGGTACAAAGGACCTCTTCTAGAAATTTAGCGATAGTTAAAGTCTGAAATATTCAAAAATAAAATCTAGTTGTCTATATATAATGTGAGTGTATTATGTTTTTTAAATATTTGGAGATGAATCACAAATATTCTATATGATCCTAAGAAAGGTGTCGAGATAAATGAGTCAGTCCCAAATTGTTAATGAACTAGGAACTATTGAGGGATGAAGACCAAGCTTTAACTATGCAAGTATGAAGAAGCTTAACAACTATCCAATTGATCACCATCTTTGGACCAAGATCAGGTCAGTTTCGACCAAAAGGGTATAAAAAACTATTTTAATAAATTTAAGCACACAAAAAAAATCTAAACTATTTTTTTTTTTGTGGATAAATTTCAAATTTACATGAATTATTTTATAAATAAAAAAACATTGAATTGGGTTTATATTCTTCTCAATGTTTTATTATTTTAACATTATATTTTTCTTTCGATATGTTATTCTTATATTTTTGTTCATATATTTATATTATTAGGAATTTATTGACTATATATCTCAACTTATCCACTCAAAAATGTTGTTCATGAATATTGAGAGCACTAACTAATCTGAACTTCTGAGGAGACCCGTAATGCAAGTTCTTTAGATATAACAAGATCTTTCCGGTATTAGACTAAAGATATTGAACTAACAATTTCTTAACCCAGAAAAGAGGAAACATACAATAAGAGAAAAAAAACATATAAAGGAGAGTTGTGTTATGTGTATGTGACTATATTGGTGCCAATATTTATAGAAGGGAATATTAACTATTATAACTATAATTAATCACAAGAATTACAAATAATTAAGTTTAAAACATTTGGTCATTTAAAATTAATTAAAACTATAACTTATTATATCTTATTAAAATTAATATTAATTAAAGTTTAAAATTTATAATTAATAAAATAATATATTTAAATTTAAAATAATTTCATGAATAAATTAATTTTTTGAAATAATTTAAAATATTAAAAATTAAAAAAAAAAATCTCTACTATGCACCAGTACAGGAAAAAAAAACAGAGGGAAGGAAGATGAGGATAAGAATCTCATCTAAATATTACAATTTACTCACCACTATCAAATAAATTGTTTTAAATGAACAAAAAAATAATACACTTGTGGTGCCAATTGAATTTGTCATTCATGAAAATGACATGTTTTATTAGCTTAGTTTACCAGCAGCATAGAGAATGGAGAAGTGGGAGAATGGTAGAATATGGTCACCATTCAGATAGATGCCCACAACGAGAACCTATCCCTTCACATATGAATGACCATAAATCATATTTTATCCGTTGACCTTTTATATTCCCCCAAACAAATTACGCATCTTTGAAATCAACTCAACATTGTGTATATTAACATTTGACCACGTGTAATTTGATAGTTCATTTCTTAATTAGAAATTTTATTTTATTTGATGCAGAAAATATTTATAATAAACTTTTTTATTATATTTAAATTATTGTTTTAGTGGAAAAAAAATACGATTCTGTTGATGTAAAAAAAAAAAAAAAAATTTGACAGCTTGTTTGCATTAAATTTTTGTGAGCAAAGATTTTTGGCACTGAGAATAATTCTAAAATAATATATAGAGAGGCAATTGTTTACCCGGATAAGGCATATAGAGGCTAAATTTATTACAGCCATATTACTTAAGGGAATGAAATAGAGATAAATTATATACATTATCGATTTCTATCATATTACCCCAAAATAATATTACCTTCCAAAAAAAAAAAAGTTTAGATTGAATGACTAATTTTAGATTCTCACAACTTGTTTTACATCACTAATTTTTGTTTTTATCTTTTTTTTTTTATGACATTAATCATCTTAAGTTGACAAAATTTGTCATAAGATGATATGCAAAACCAGCAACCGGGATGGACAGTAACGAGCAATGATGCTTTAAAGAGTTTTTTTTTCTGCCCTTTTTGGTTTGAACTCTCTAGCTAGGACTGTCTAGGCTTATTTGGGAAAATTGATCAAAAGGACCTCTATTCTCTGGTGTCTGAATGGAGTACCGTGGTAAGCTTTTAAGGGTTGGTCCACCACCTCATAAACACACAATAACTGTTGCCTAATGGACTGCCTCCCACGGCTTAGCTCAGTTTTGCGGGGTCGAAACCTAACATTCCCCATTATCCCTCTCCTCAAACATTTGAACACCTGTACCCGTAGGCCCGGAATAACACTCATTCACTGAATGTTTTTCTTAGGTTACAAATGTACAACAAAACAGATACGGCATATGAATGTGAACAGTGACATCCAATTCCTTAGATTTGGCTAGCTCCACTTATGTAATTGCTAGTTGCTATCAGTTTTGAATGAAACTGCACTGCTACAACCTAGTAACATGACAAGTGTAATATGAGTTTTGCCACCTATTGGCATTGACATTGGACGAGGCCGATTCTCATGGCTACATAGTTGCAGGGTGGCTCACTAATCATCAATGAGTTCAAATTTTCTTCCCCTCCTTTTCATTTTGATATGATGGATCGGTAAGCATCACCATCACCCAATAACGAAATTAATTGCCATTATGTAGGTTATGAAAAAGAAATCGTGTTATCAAAAAAATAAAAAAATAAAATATGGAGTATCCTATTTAAAGTAAAGTGTTTATCCATTTTAACCATTTCTTTTCCTTTGGAGCTGTTTCGTTCTCCCGGATAAAAGAACAGCAACATTAGTGTCGCCATATGTGATTTAGCAGCTATATATTCTGGAAACGGCAGCAAGTAGTACTGGTGCAAACCTATCTAACTTCTTTGCCTTGTCTACCTTCTTTCATATACTAGGTGAAGAGATCCCAAATCCCATGGGAAATATTCAGCGTTGTTTTTTACAATTAATGTTTGTCAAATCGGGTCGAGTCCTACAACGGAGAATATAAAATACTCTTTCGTTTCTCCCATTTATGGGATGCACAATATATCTCAAGATTGGTGTGCAATGTGGATACTGCCAACAAATTAGAGGAAAACAGCAACATCGATGTGCTATAGTGCACTAAAAACATCATTTGCTTCAAACATGATTCACCGAAACATGGGGCATTATTAGTTTAAGCAAGAGGTAGCAATCAGGTGTCAAATCTCGGTATACACCAATCAGTTACTGAATTATACCAACAAAAAAAAATTGAATGCAAACACTTTTTATGGTTTGCCTATAATCTGTAGTACAAGATCAGCTATGGTGGTGCCTGCGGGGTCTTAACCTGGTAATAATATTCAGATGCATTGCTGCTAGGGGTGCTGGATGAAGTAAAACAAAGACTCTGGGGAACTGAATTCATAGATCTTGTTGGAAAGATGGCAGTCGATGGAAAGTTAGCTGAAATTGAGAATCCTGATGATGCTGCAGCAGAGAACGTTGGTACTGGGGTAGCATTGGCCTGGCCATGTGTTTGCCACGCCCAATTGGGGAGTCCTTTTGAAGGATCAATGCTGATTCTCTCTGCTCTTTCCTGCTAGATAATTAGCAATCTTTAACAGTCTTACAGAATCGTTTAATTAAAAAAATGCATGCAATCATATAATTGTTTACACGCGGAGTTCAGTGAACAAACGTTACACCACCCAGAACCTTTAGATAGGCCACAAAAATATAATGTATGTCGCGGAACTTTCAGTGAAAATATTATCACAATGCTTTGATGGGCTTTGTTTTAAAACTCGAGCCATGCGCCATATTTGTCTTATTTTATTCATATAATGATCATGCATTACCGACCAAACAAAAACAAAAAGAGACCATGCATTATCACAAATGTTGACCGTTCGAACTTCCAAGTAATGCTTTTGAGACACATTCTGGACCAATTCATTTTGTTAAAAATTGAATACCATGGAGCAAATATCAACTATATATAACATAATACCTACAATTCCCTTGACTTTCCAATACAAAAATTACGCCAAAATCCTATTTAAGTTAACTAGTAAATCCCTGAACATAAAAAATCAACTTTTGCTGTAAAGCACCACATTTAAAAGTCAAGCATTATTCAGTATTCCAATGAAATCGAAGACACTAGCTAGGAAATAATTCTGCAGTTTTTAAATGTTGCACTCAATAAAGAACAAGAGAGCAACACCAAATGGATTACCTCATTGGGAAAGAAATTAGGACACATGGAATTCCATACAGAAGGACGATCTTCATTTACAACCAGCCGTTTCAAAGATGGATTACCAATTCCAGAATTAACATTGGTTTGCATCTGCAAATAAAGAAAACCATGTCAATTACGATCACTCAATAGGACATCTAGATTTAATAAAAACAATACCAATGCCGTCAAAGGAAAACAGGTTGTAATTAGTTACAAGGTGAACCCACGATGGCTACAAAAGCTTTGCATCCAGACAAACATATCCTCAACATCATGATATGAATAGTTTTATCAAAATAATAAATAGTGTTGTTTTTTTTACTTATTTCCCACTTTCCAATACACTTTCAACGTCAATCCACGTCTCTATGGTCATAGGTGTTAAATTGAATTGAATGGGTATTTTGAGAGCATAAAAAGTGCTACCCACCTTCATTGCACATAATTTAGAATAAAGTTAAAATAAATGAAGATGTAACTTCAATTATACCATTGAACTTCTTCCGCTATGCATGTTGTAAGGGACGGAGGGGACCTGAAGTTGGCCCCAATTTTCTTTGGGACCAGGTCCTGGGGTTGCTATGCCCAAATTGAGATCAAGATTCTGACTACCACCTGTGTTGAAAAAAAGAACATTTGCCATTCAGAAAATCACTTGGAAATTAAAAATAGAAGAAGATATTTTCTATTAAGTACTACCTTCATTAATGGCTGCGGATTTCATCTCTCCTTCATAAGTACTTGGCTCAAAGTTGGTCACTGCTTCCCTTCCGTTGCATTTGATAGCTGCCTTGTCATAAGCCCTGATTTCCAGAAAATCAAATGGGAGATACATGTTGGATGGAACTTAATGAGCTTGATAATTCAGGGTAATAAATTCAATGCAGTTAGAATTTAATTCATGAAACATTAGGATTTAGGACCTTGCAGCTTCTACTTCGCTGTCGAATAAGCCAAGATATATATACCTGCATGGAAGCATTGCAATCTCTATAACGAAAATACCTTTGCCAATCGCTTCGTTGAAAACATGCATCTTACTATCTTAGAAATGCTTCTCCAAACATGGAAAAAGCCAAAAGATGCATCGAGAACTAAGCTGGAACCAATTCGCTTGGCAGGCCAACAGGTATTTGAATTTATAACATCTCATATAATCATAGTACATCACTAATTAAGTTGATAAATAAAAACATGTCCTCACTTTTTGCCAAGGAATTGTCCCATTCGAGCTTCCCACCGGCCACATTTGTGAAGCGTTACTCCTCGGTATTTAGAACTTCCTCTCGAGAAACCAGTACTTTGGCGACGCAGTATATGTACAAATTCCTCCTTGGACAAATTCTTCATCTGCCCATCAGTAAGAAAACGGTGAAAAAACAAATCAGATACACCATCTAGTTCCATATCCACCAAATGCTTGAGCCTCCTAACCTGTTTAAGATCATCCTCATAATCACTCAGATTGAAATTGATATCAGCATCAACTCCCCTGAACTTAATTGCAGCTCGATCATAGGCTCTACATTTAGAAACTCCAAGTCAATAATAAAATAACACGACTCAAATCTTCAAAAATCAAAATGAAGGACCGTTTCTTAAAACCAAAATTACGACAAAGAAAATGAAAATAAGACCAAAGCTCTACCTAGCAGCAGCATGAGCCGTGTCAAATCCACCTACAAACTCAAACACCAATTCCGTCAAAAGATGCTTAAAATAGTAAACCATAGAATACGATCGAAAATAGTACAAAAACCATGCACCAAAAAAAAAATAAACATAGAAATTCATAAATTAAAAATCCATACCCAAATAGACTTGTTTCCCGCAATCCCTACACCAAATAATTACAAAAAATACGACCAAAAAACAAAAGTCAGTTGCAATTCAACCAATCAAACTCCACACAAACAAATATTCCCTTCCCCGCAAGACCTAAAATGGAAAACGCAACTAAAACAAAACCAAAGCGACACTAGAAAAATTCACGAACCAGATATGCGATTCCCATCTTCCCGTCCTTCTGTAAAAGGTAACCCCTCTGTATTGCGAGCTTCGAGACCTCGGTCCTCTCCTACTCTTCTTCGCCGGTTGCTGAGGCTGAACCTGAGGCTGAACCACCTTCATCGCACCGTTCCCTCCCTCGCGATCGAACGAGAGATCCACCAAGCCATTCCTCGCCGAAAGCGACGGCGTATCGGACTCTCCTTTAGTTCCCCCACCGCTCACCGGAAAGAGCTCCCTCGTTACGACGTCGTTCGCCTTGAGGATATCAAAATTGAAGGTGTACAGGTCATCGGCGCGCGTGGAGCACGAGTCCTCGTCTCCGCCGCCGTTGCTGGAACCGTCCGCATTCACCACCGAGGAATTCGAAGTCCCTGACTCCGCCATTTGGTGCCTCAAACCTTCTTGAAACTTCTCAAACGACACCGCCGAGTCGACGTTCTGAGTCGACTCGGTCCAGTCCACATTGAGATTAAGATCTAACATCGCGCTTATTTTTTTCATTTAACCGTTCTGTAACTGAACCGAACTAACTCTTAGATTCCGTTTTCTATTTTATAATTTCTTAGGTCAACTAACGTTAGCTAAAGCTTGTATAACTAACTTCGCCGGCGAAGATTTTCCGTCCGCGAAATGGATCCGATCGAGAACAACCGAACGAGAGAAGTAATGTAAGAGTCACAGAGAGACAAGTGGAAAACGAAACGGAGAAGAAAACAGATTCGCGACATCGTTTTGTTCAGTACGAGTGACGCCGGATAAATTTTCCGGCGACCGGAAAACGGAGAAGGAGTGAGAAGAAGGAACTCACGGAACAAGGAGTGAGAAGGAATCGACGCGAGCTCATTTCGCCGGCGATGAGTTCATCGTCGCCGGAGAGAGTGAAAGCGTCGCCGACTTGTGGATTCCATGGAAGAGAGAGATGAAAAGTGAAGTGCCAGAAACACTTTCTTTCTTTCACTGCGACCCGTTTTAAGAGGGAAGGAATATATAAACATTTTCTCTCTCATAATGCGACTTGTTGGTTCGGTTACCGGTCACCGATATTGCAAAAGGGAATAGATATTTTTCGTTGCTCTTTCTTAGTTTCTCTCTCTGTGCCAAGGTCACCGTCTCGTTGAAGGAAACTATCGACTTAGTTGAGTTTTTCTTGATTTGGATTTATGGCTAAACTAACTACTAGATTATTGTCAAATGGCTAGCGTAAGGGGAATGATTGAAGTGAAAAGAATATGCAATTAATATTCTAAATAATTACTATCAATTGAGTGATACATATACAACATTATTATTATTTATTTACTTTCTCTTAATTAAATAATTTATTATATAATCTAGTGTACTAAGAGCACCTCCCGTGAAGGATACTTGTTGTGTATCTTATTTTTAAGCAATAATATTTATAAGAAATCTCCAGAGTTAGCATATGCGATAAGATAAGTTCTAAAAATTTTAGCTTTGTTGCTTGAAGAAGCAACGGTGCTTAGCACTCTAAAATTTAAAATGGAGAGGTTTGATTGGTTGATGTTGATCCAAGATAAAAGTGTACACAGATTTTGTAAAAAGTGTAGTATGAAGTATCAAAAAATGGTAAAAAAGTAGTGGGGCTTATAAATAATTTTTATTAGAATAAAAATTTATAAAAATATAATATAAATTATTTATAAGTAAACACAATAAAACTCATTTAAAGTGGTTGAGAATGATTTATAAACAATTCTCGTTATAAATGTTATAAATATGATTTTCCTTATCAATACGGATGCAAATTTATCGGCTAAGAAATTATAATGAACCGTGAACTTGTTCAAACTTGTCAGATTTATTTAGAGTTTCTCACAAAATCCAACTCCAACGATACTAAGCTACTAGTATATAAGTGAATGCTATCCTTGTACAATAATTAATCAGACAAGATTTTCAATGTTTTAAATAATCATTTTAGTTTTAGAATTAATTTTAATTAATTAGGTTTTAAATAAAAAAATATTGTTATAACAACTAAACAAAGAGAATATTCACCATTGTGAGCTTTGACAGACCCTCTAGATAGATTCATAATTTTTTTATTATTATTATAGTTGTATTTTTTTTCGTAATTTTTAGTTTTGGACATTGAACCTTCTGTGTATAAAAAAAAAAAAAAAAAACCCCCATTAAAAGTCAGTCTAATTATAATAATTATTAATCAATTAATTTGTATAATAATAATTAAGAAACACCTTTTATTATTAATAGAATTTAAACAATACCAAGATAAATTTTTTTTCATAAGAATTCTAATTTTTTAATTAATTTAATAAAAGTGTCACATTAAAATTTGTTTTAGGACTAATAGTGTTATGATATAATTAAGGATTCATTTGTCTCTATTTTTTTAAAAAAAAAAAAAACCACCATTAAAAGTCAGTCTAATTATAATAATTATTAATCAATTAATTTGTATAATAATAATTAAGAAACACCTTTTATTATTAATAGAATTTAAACAATACCAAGATAAATTTTTTTTCATAAGAATTCTAATTTTTTAATTAATTTAATAAAAGTGTCACATTAAAATTTGTTTTAGGACTAATAGTGTTATGATATAATTAAGGATTCATTTGTCTCTATTTTTTTATTAGTATTTTCTCTTTAAAAATAAAGTTGTATTGAATATAACTTTAAAAAAATATTAAAAAATTAATGAACAAAAATGAAAAAAATAAAGTTATTGTAGAAGAAAATAGGATAAACTATTTTCTTAAAAAAGATAAACCTAAAAAAAATGGGAAAAAATCGAAAAGAAAACATTCAAAGTTGTTTTTAAACTCAACCTAGTTACTGACATAATGGCTGAGAGTTGAGATGGATCTAAGAAGAATTAGATTCAAAGTTGTTTTCTTATAACTTTTTTTTTTATTGGTAAAGAAAAATTCTACCTGCTTATTGATTCAATTCAATTTACTTACTAAATCATTCATTCAACTATAACGTGTATTAATTAATACAATATTTAATATTTTTTATTTTAAAATAATTGTGTAAAAATAATAATAAATATAAAAAAATTAATAAAAAAATTTACTAAAACAGTCTCGCTTCCGCAATCAATATATTTTGATGATAAAGGGATTAACAAACACGGTGCTCAAAATTCATTATGATTGATATAATTTATATGAGATCAAATTATACTAAATTTATTCCTATTATTACATCATTTATAACATAAGTTATTTTATAATATTTTCAAATACTAAATTTTTTTAAAATTCATCGAGTAACTTTTAATTATATAAAGAGGTTAAATTATACTAACTTAATTTATACCCATTATTATATTATTTAATATTTTTTAATTAAATAAATTTATCTCACAAGTCGAAATCTTTTACTAAATAAAAGTACAAAAATTATTTTTTAATTTAATCTCATATTTTATTTCAACAATGAATATGTTAATTAAAATATAATTTAAATATTTATGGTTATATAACATATGAATAAATGTTTCATTTATGTTAAATTCTATTTACATAATAAAAAATATTAAATAATTTAATGATTGAGTTGCATAATTTTATATTTAAAAAAAATATTGATTAGTATAAGTGGTAATAGTTTTTATCTCTTAACTAAGTTGTCAGGAATTTAAATTTTGTCATTAATTATGAAATAAATTATATTAAAAAAAGAATATATATTTTACGTGCATTCACGATCTTCAATATAATTTAGTAATTATTGTCGGTGATAAATACTTCATATTAATATTGAAATTATAATTTATTTTTTTAAAAATAAGCATTTGATAAAAAAAATATTAAACAATCTTTTACGTGAGTTTATACTTGATTTCAATTGACTTTATTAATGAATTAATATATATATATATATATATCAAAATTATACCAGTCACATTGTGTCTTTTACAATGCTGTCAAGCATGCAAACTCTTAAAAGGTAATTAATTCCCCATAAACTAAATGAATATTTTTTATTAAGGTAATTCATCATTTTTTTTTTTTTTGTACTACTTTTTCAAGTTTCAATCAATATATGTTTTTTACAAAAAAAATTTCATCTGATTAGACGTTAAACGACAAATATAAAATAATACTTGTCAATGAAAATTTTGTTTTAGATCACAAATTAATTATTAGTTATGAATTTTAAAATATTATATATATTATAAATATAAATATTATAAAATTAAATTATACATCTTTACATTATTTCAGGATATTAACTGATGACCATTGTTTCCATTAAAAAAAACTAATGACAATTGTATGAGAAATTCTTTCGTAGATAAGTTTTATATGGTATATATGAAATCCTTTCATGGTGTGTGAATGAATATATGTAGTTATATTATTGCTTCCAATAATTTAATGGGTCTAACCCTCGTCTTTTCATTTCTTGTCATTTTAATAGAAACACAAGGATTATGCATGCAAACAATGGATCCTTCGAGTCATACAAATTAATAACTTCAAATCCACCACAGTTTTGTCTCATTATGTATTATTTTTTCAGATATTTTATGTGCATCTAATATTAATAACAATAATAATTTTTGTAATATATATATATATATATATATATATATATA